CAACGAGAAGAAGTGAAGTTGACAAGGTAGGAATCCCGACAAATCATCAATTCTCAATGCTAAGCTTCTGATTGAAAATTCATGTTGGCTTATTCCATCCTGCACATAACATAAGACAACAGTTGAAATAGTCGCGTAAGTTGTGTCAATAAGAATCAAACCATTATAACGAAGCTAGGTCTAATGAGCTTGTAGCTCTTGAGGTGCAAATATCATACGAACTTGGCCAATAAGCACGCAACTACTTTTGATCAGCTCCAAATCCTGTATTGAGACCCAAAATTTGAGTTGACTACTTTTGATCAGCTAGATCTAATAATGTAATTACTAACTAATTGATTGCTAATGTAATTACTTATTGATTTGCAGTATGTTAACAGGTACTTTGTTCAAATGCATAAAATGTGCAGCTATATACTACATGAGTTGATTAATGCTCTGCAGTAGTTCAAACAGAAATGTATTCATAACAAAAGTACATGATGGATGAGAGAGAGAGAGAGAGAGAGAGAGGAAACAATAAGTGATGAATCTATTGGCAAATGTATGGCTAGAAAAGATAGTGATGGGAACTTACTAATATCAATTATGAGAAGACCGTCATTAGCCTTTGAAGTATTCATGTGCAGACATCTGAGGAGGAGGCGTTTTTAACAAAGGTCGCAAAAATTTAGCTGCTCTTTTAAGAATAACAGTTTTTATTAAACTTTTCAACAATAGCGAAAAATAAGAGGGTGCAAGGCCTAAGTAGGAAATCAAAGTGGTTACCCTCCAAATCAAAAGTCCTATGCATCCCCATTGTTCGCCATTGTTGAAAGATTTGATAAAAACTGCAGTTGTTAAAAAGAGGGAGAAAATCTTTACAAGTTTTGTTAAAAACCATTTGGAAAGAGCATAGCTTTTGAGGCAGAGAGATTTTTGGTGAGAGCTTCCACTTGCATCAGCTGAATTGTGAGAATTGTGAGGAGAAGTAGCTTTTGTGCTGATCTTGTGCACCAAACGGAACCCACACTTCTTTATACCCGAGTAATAAATTATGACTGGGTGAGCGTCAGAATAACGAAATCGGCGAGCAAAAATATGGAATGAAATCTTCATCTGACTGCATTCTTTGTCGACTACATAATGATATACACGAGATACCCAAAGGTGAGGTGACACAAGATGGCCTCTATCAATGGGTGTACTACACACAGAGGCACCTTCTCCTAGGCGACATTCAATTTGAAAATGGGTACAAGGGTAATAAGATGGATTTGGGTGATCCACAGGAGCACCTTCTTCAAAGACAGCACAAAAAGCAATCCAAATGGACGTGGTACATGGAGGTAGCTCCACAATTAAGGAATCTCCTACACTTTGATTATTGAACCACTCTGGAATTCTACTTCCAGGTGTTACAATTTGGAAATCGGGAATATTCCAACGAGGTACCTGTACCATGTATAGGTTAGTAACTTGATTATTTATTTATTATTATAGCAAACAAAGAGAGACAGAGAGATAGAGAGAGAACCTGAAGGAATCCCCAATCCAGACCAATCCAGAGCAGTCCAAGTATTATACTATCATTGCAGCCATCATTCTCAACCAATCCATAGCAATTCAAACAACTCAACGAAACACACCTTCTTACTCTTTTTATGCTCAACTTTGGCAACGTTTTTAAGGAAGGGCAATCGTCTGTGTTCATGTGAATACTGTGGAAGTGTTCAACCAATCCAAAGCGGAAATGGGGCAATTGTTGAAGCCTCTGGCACCCTTTCACCAAAAATGACCCAAGCTTAGGAAGACATCCAATGCTTGCAGGAAGGCTAACAAAATTGTTTCGACTAAGGTTTAATTCTTCTAAAGAGGACAAGCAGCCAATATCAATGGGAATATCCTCATCACGAAGCCCACAATCACTCAGATTCAATTTCTTCAAAGACCATAAACCATGTAGCGAACCCAACACAAAAGCCTTTCTTTGGAGGCCCCACCAAAACCTTGATTTCTCACTAAATGAGTTTCCACTCACACTGAGCCATGTAAGGCCAACAAGACGTCCAATTGATGAAGGTAATTTCTCAATGGGCGTCCCTTCTAAAATAAGAGTTGACAACTTTTTCATTTGTCCTGAAAATTCTGGAATCTTTTTCAGTTTTGAGCAACCCCAAAGACTTAAAAATATAAGAGAATCCATTTCAAGCTCCCTTGGAAGACTCTTAATACTTTTGCATCCATCTAGTCTTAAGTGTGTAAGCCATTTGAGATTTGCAACGGACGAGTGAATCTCAACTAAATTCATACACTCTGCAAGATTCAACTCCTGGAGTTTTGGCATGCCAGTGAAAATTGGGGTTGTTGTCAAGTTTCGAGAGCCACAAAGGTTCATGTATTTCAAATTGGGGAAGTCCTGTACAATATTACATGAAAAATAGTGGAATATAATTAGCAACCAGCAAACTTATACTTTTACTCTCTTTTTTCAAAAAATTCGTAAGATGGCATATGGTCAGTAATCTTACAATTCTTTCATCCCAGAGCCCAACTAGTTCGCTGTCCTGCATCTCAAGTGAAACAAGTTTATTCGGTTGAAAATTTGATGGGAGATATTTGGAAGAATACCAACCCCATTTCATCATTCTTAAGGAATTAGGAAGAATTCTGGGGATTGACATTGGGGAAATTATCACATTATCAACTTCAAGAAATTTCAGGTTAATCATCTTAGAGAATGCTTCACAATTCCAATCCACCTCTTCAAGTTCCGCCATCCTTAAGGCGATGCCTTGAATTTTGTTCGTTGCCTGTAATAAAGAATAGTAAAGGAAAAGTTAATTCCACATTCAAGTCTAAAATTGAGTTAGAAAGAAATCATATTTCTTCAGAAAAAAAAAAACACAAAATAATATTTTCTACATAACTTCTTACCGTATTGTTTAGAAATACATGAGAAATGTCATTATGATGGCACAATCGACTGCGTTCACCAGGCTCTTCAGGATTCTCTAGGCGAACAATTTCCAATGCCATTTCTTGTATCAAATCATGCATCTCAACAATGTTATTTTGGACGATAGTTAAAAGTGATTTATGAATGAGAGCATTTATCCCAATACGACCACATACGCCATAACTATCTAGTATTTCAATTACTTCCTCCTTGCCCTTTCCCTTGTAGAAAAATGCAATATCAAGAAATATATTCTTGTTCATCTCATCTAGTCCATCATAACTTAGTTTGAGCAAATTGAAAATTGTTGACTCATGAATTTTCCGTAGCTTATCCAATTCACTTTTCCATTCATCTCGATCTCTCTTATACATAGAGCATCCCAAAATCTTAAGAGCTAATGGAAGGCCTCTAGCATAATTTACAAAGCACTTAGACAATTCCTGAAAACCTTCCTCAGGTTCAATTTTTTTAAAGGCATTCCGACTAAAGAGCTCAAGAGCCTCATCATCACCTAATCCCTCTACCTTGTATGATATATGCATATCATGCGCAACTAGCAACCGTTCATCTCTAGTTGTAAGGATGATTCTACTCCCCTTACCAAACCAATCCTTTTCTCCAACCAATTTCTCTAGTTGGCTTGATTCATTCACATCATCAAGAA